TGGAGAGAAGGCGTGGGAACAAATGCTTTACCCTTACTAGGGGCAATGACCTCGGTCTCTCTGAGGTCTGGATAAAGCTCAACAGGCACAGGCCAAGGTACGAATTCCACTACCTCGTCCCCCCTGACCTTCTCCTCCACCACTTTCCTCTTTTTCTTTTGAGCTTGATCCACTTTATCCCTCTTCCTTTTGGACCTTAGCTCCACCTCCTCTGCAGCTCGGGCTTTTGTACTTGACATCTGCCCTTTCTCCGTGTTACCATCTCTTTTCCCACTTGTAGCCTTCTCCAAAGTCTTGGACTTCTTCCTTGGCTTCTTAGGAATACCACCCCACCAGCAACACCTAGAAATTTGTCCATTTCAGCTGCAAAACAACAATTCTGTTAAAATCCACAAATCAAAACTAAACTCTTACACACATTACACAAGATACCAACACACCTTCGCTCATTGAGCTCAGCTCATAAAGCTCAGCTGCTTCTATGACATCCGAGCTGGTGAGAAACATAATATCTATTATGTCACCCTCCTTTCTCACCAGCTTCTCTACTTCTTCCTCCTCATCACTATTTAAACTATACTTATTTTGGTTGGCCCTTTTAGCCTTCCAGGTAGACAAAACCTCTACTTCCCCATCGCCCTTCTCCCACTCTATGTCATCAAGAAAAAATTTTCCTTCCACCCCTTAATGGAGGAAAGCCCTGCACTAAACAGGTTTCTCTTTTCTTTGTTGGACGACAAAGGTGTAAAGTAGTACCACCCCTTCTCCTTTTTACTCCCAGCCTTCAGCACAAAAAAGTGCTTAAACATATTTACTATTGGCACCCTAACCCCCCTAGCCCGACAGTATACTATAAACCCAATTATCACTCTCAGCACATTGGGAGATAGTTGGGTCAAACCTACACTATACTCCAATAACAACCACACCAACAAATTAGACAACAGAAACCTAAGCCCTGCTGCTAAATAATGGGCATACACTGGCATCTAGTGATCCCGGGGTGCAGAGCATGCCCTTTCTTTCACTCCGGTAGGCCTAATTAATACTCTAGAGGAAATCTCATAAGTTTCTACGAGATAACTCAGGCTATCCCTAGTCTTGAGCTCAGACTTATACCCCTTTACCTCAAACACAATGTCTACCCTAGTATTGTAAAACTTATCACTCCTATCTCCCACTTCCAATATGTTGACAAGCACCTCTTCTGCCCCACCCTCAACAACTTCATTTCTACCTACCCCTCCCTCTGTATGCTCAGACCCAAACGACTCACCCTCTACACTTACATCGCTGTACTCCAGCATCCTTACTTCCTCGCTCCCCCCAATGCTCAACATTTCCTCAAAAGACATCTCCTCAGTCACGTAACTTTCACTACACAGAGTAGGGGGAAGGATGTAGTCAGGAACTTCAAAAAACTCTAACTCACGCTCAATATCACTCTCACTCCTAATCCTAACCTCTTTAAGAGGGCTTAAATCTAAATCAAAAAGGGTGAAAGGAGAATAAAATTCCCACTAGAACTTGAATCATAGAAGTTCATAAGTTACTTGATTTTGATAGTGCAGAACGAGTTTTGAATTCGAAAATGTGTCACACAAACACTGTAGCGATTTTTGCAGCACTTCGATAGCAAATACGGAGAAAGTAAAAGTCTTTTTACAGAAGTATAACTATATCTACCAAAGGAAATATATGCCTCAACGGCTTTGATTAATTTCATCTTACGGTCACGGTTACACCGTTTCGAATTCGACGGTTAATCCTTAATGGAAATCTCTCGAATTCGATAGTTCGTTTTCCATCCCATCCGCTTAACTGTAGCAGTTACTTTTTTACAACCTGTATTTATTATGCATGTCTTTCGACAAATAGCTATCACGCCACACACTAACTCTACGTCAGACTTTTTTAACGGGCCCCACTAAGCCCAGTTCAGTATTTTTGTTTCCTTTCATAATAAAATTTTTCAACTTTACAAGTATTTTACTTCAGCTCCGACCATAGTCACTCCGTGTCACATATTTTGCTTCGGCTCCGGCCACTATGACTCCGGCTATTACTTTTTACTACGGATTCGGCCACTATGACTCCAGTCATTACCTTTTACTACGGCTCCGGCCACTATGACTCTGGTCACCACTTTTTACTACGACTCCGGCCACTATAACTCCAGTCATCACTTTTTACTACAGCTCCGACCACACTGACTTCGGTCATTATTTTCACTATGGCTCCGGCCACAATCATTCTGGTCACATTTTATTTTGGGAGTGGCCAAAATGACCCCATGTCACATATTCCACAATTAGTTACGGCCATATAAGAATTTGAGTTACCAATTTTTAACTTCTGTAACTCATCTTTAATATTTTCATTCCTCTTTTTATCTATTTATGCATTACTCCCATTATCTCTAACAACATCATTCACAAGTGAATGACTTCGAGGAGAGAATAGTGTAAGGATAGGTCCGAGGTCCTTAACCGCGGACGTACTGTAACAATTCCTTAATAGCCAAAGTGAAGTTAAATCCTACACTTCCTGGTTAAATGGCTACATGATAAATACAGTGGACATGTCCACACCTGATCTATCACACACAGTTTCCCGATCCCGGATTTACTGCCTTAACGGACACGTCACACTCCAATTATCCTGTTAAGCAAGCCACGTGGACACCTTACTAAGGCTTATAAATACCCTCCAGGGGCCACCTCAGAAAGGTAATTGAAACTGACCTAAAGCTCTTCCTTAATTATTCTAAAAAGGTAGATTCGATTATTGCTAACTTAAGCATCAGAGTGTCTACCCCGAGAACCCACCTCAGGGCTTTGCAGGTTAATCTGAAGTGAAGACGCGGACTGAAGAAGGACTTCTGGTCTGATGCAATTACAAAAACTTTAGATGCTCGAAAGGATAACTATCTATTATATATAGCTCTGCATGTGCTCCTATGACATACTTATGGTAGATGACCTCCAATTTGTAATTATCCTATTAATAGTAAAGGTTAGATGCCTCTACTTGTATGGCTTCCATGGGTTTCTTGTGACCTTTGCTTATTAATGAAATCCCTACTTTTCATCAAAAACTTATTAAATTAATTTAAATTTGATTAATACAGTATTTGTTTAAGGCCAAACCTTAATGTTAAGTCCCCAAACTTACCTTAAATTCTCAATTAAGTCCCTAGATTTTTATTGAAGCAAATAAGCTCCTAAACTTGATAATTTGAGCAATTTAACCCTTTTCCATGCAGTAGATTTAACACTTGTTTGTACCTTATTTGTATGGACAAGGTCAATACCTGTCATGCAGGCAATAACATATCAATACCTTATTTGTGCAAGTGAGATACAAACAAACATTAAATTTACCATAAAGAAAAATAGTTAAATTACCTAAATTACCAAGTTTAGAAATTTATTTATTTCAATAAAAGTTTAAAAACTTAATTAAGAATTTGGGGCAAGTTTGAGGACTTAACATCACCATAAAGAAAAGGAGTTAAATTACTTAAATTACTAAGTTCATAAGTTTATTTATTTCAATAAAAGTTTAAAAGCTTAATTAAGAATTTGAGGCAGCTTTGGGGACTTAACATAGGATTTTGTTTTTATTTTAATAATTAAACAAGTGGACCCCTGTTAGTTTAATTTTTTAAACATTGGAGAATTTGGGGGAATTCTTTACAATGCATGTGTAATTTCTGCGAATCGAATCGAACAAGCTAGTAGTAGTTTAACATGTTGCCACGGGAGTTAGGAATTTACATTTCATCTTTGTAGTGTAAGGGGAAAATTTTAGGTACAGAACATCGAAGAAAAATGGGTTCAGCTAAAATTAATTTAATTATCAGGACTTAAAGTTAGAATATTGAAAGATGCATTGTAAATTACCCAACACAAAAATATAAAATTAAGAAAGTAATGAATTTTTGTTTTTTCAACTACAGTAATTGCGGGGGATGGCGAGGAATGAGATTACAATTGTAGGGTGAAGCTCCAACCCCACACCCCCAGCACCAATCCACTAGGCACAAGAGCAATGTGGCTTTTGCCACTTGCCCTCCATGTGGTTGGCAAGTAAGTAGTGGATATGATGTTAATCATGCATTAAAATATAACTTTTTAGCCACATAATATCTATCTGGTGTGACATAATTCTTAGAGTGTAATTTCAAATAGAATTTTTGATTTAAGAGAAAGTGTTCCTTATTTTACAATCCTTTAATATTAAGAGTTTTTTTTTTAATAATTTTTATTGTGTAATTTAATATAATTTAAATTACATAATAAATTTTCATGAAAAAATAAACTTTTTAAATTAAATAATTTTTTTATTTTTTCAATAATAAAAAAATAATATAAAAACAAAATACATCACAATTTTAAAATTAATTAATTTAAATAATATTTCTTATTCTAAAACAATGGAGTATTGTATAACACGCGGTCTACATAAAACGTACGGACTGAGACTGCAAACCAATGAAAAATTTGCTCAAGTCAAGTCTTTGTGTCTTTCTAGGAACTGTAGTCTCTGATTCGTTGCCTAGGAGTGAAAATCAGTGCCAGCCACCAGTACTCGGAGGTTTTGTCCCTTGAAAGACTTAATAGAGTGAGGCACACGTTAACACCTACATCACGGATTTTTGGGAGGGGTGGAAATGATTATTGCAAACGACCTAACAAAATTGTAGTAGTTGATAACGATGATGCCCTGTTGCTTCCTCCTCCACCAACTAAATTGTCACTAGTTTTCTTTTTTCTTTCTGTTTCTTTTTTTTTTTTTTTTCAAACACGGGAAGGTATAAGTCATTATTTAAATCATAAAATTTTTTCTATTAAATTATTAATTAACAAATTTATAACTTAGAACTCTCAGAAAATAAGGTAATTAAAATGTTTTGGAACTCATTATTAATTTAATGAGTTTTTTTGAGGTGACATTCATAAACTCTAATAAATTTAAACTCAAATAATCAAGATAGAATTCTCATATCGCCTTTTAAAAAATACAGGTAGGGATGGATCAATTTCTAAAAAAATGAAGGGACATTTGATCCTTTAAAATTATTGACTGACGTAAATTGCTTATTATTTAATTGTTGACGTTACTACCGTCACAATCTCCGTTTAGCCCATGCTGTCAACTATTTACACTTGAAATTAAATGAAAAAAAGAAAAGAAAAAAGAAAACGAAAGAGAAGGGCTCTAGATCCTTCTCCTTCCAGAACCTCCCAAATTTCAGCCACCATCACCACCAGCTTCTTCTTTTCCCAACATTCCCAACCTCATAAAAACTTCCATCTCACCATCATCACACAGCAACGAAAAGTAGCTTTTATTTTCTATCTGTAATAGCCAAAAAAAAAAAAAAAAAAAGCCTTTAAGGAGTTTCTTGTTTTTGCTCTCAGCCTTCCCTCTTTCCTTTCGCTTTACCTTGGCTTTCTTCCTCTTGGACATTCTACAGATCTAATTTTGGGGAGAAGTGCAAGGCACAACGATCAATGAGGAATGTTTGAGATCCATTTTTGAAAGGAAAAAGAAATCAATTATGTTGGCTAGAGGTTAAAAAAAAAAAGGAAAAGAGCAAAGGGGAGCTTGGGTAGCCTAAAAAAAGAGAAATAAAATTGTAAAGATAGGTCCGAAGGTCCTTAACCTCAGACATACTGCTACAATTCCTTAATAGCCGAAGTGAAGTTAAATCCAGCACTTCTCGGTCAAATGGCTACACGATAAATACAGTGGACGTACCCACACCTGATTTGTCGCACACAATTTCTCGGTCCCGAAATTATCACCTGAAGGGACACATCACACTCTGATTATCCTATTAAGCAAGCCACGTAGACATCTCATGAAGGCCTATAAATACCCCTCAATGGCCACCTCAAAAAGGTAATTGAAAACCAACCTAAAGCTCCTTTTTCATTACTCTAGAGGTAGATCCGATTATTGTTAACTTAAGTATCGGAGTGTCTACCCTAAAGACCCACCTCGGGGCTTTGCAGGTTCATCCGAAATGAAGACGCGGATTGAAGAAGGATCTCTGGTTTGGTGCAATTACGTTGGCACCGTCTGTGGGAAACCGAGCTAAAATCTCTTTTGTTGCTTTCTCGTCATGGTCAACACTCGATCAATCCGAACTAAAAATCAAGCTCAACCTCTTGGACAAGGTCAACTCTCCAAAAACCTTCCACCTCACCTCCCACCTCAGATCCCAAATATGTTCCCTCTCGTTGAACATGCAAAAAGAAGAGATGAAAACCAACCTCACAACTCAGCCCACAACTCAACTTCCATTCCCAATCAAGGAGATATAGTCACAGCTCAGCTTGTTGCAATGCAACAGCAGTTCGGTGTCTTTCAGTTAGTTTTGGCTCAGCTCCTAACTCGGAATAATCTTGGCGATCCCCTTATCAATCTACTCAACCCTACTCAACAACCCCTTGTTCAACAACAAGACCCTCAACCAGTTCAGCATGCTTCTGCTCTCAGTGAGTCTTAGGGTCAGTCTCATATAGCCTCAGTTCAGCAACCTATACCTGATGATGTCACACGATGTCTGGACAGTTTAGAAAAACTGGTAGTCGAACAGCGAAATGCCACACCTCCACACCATAATACTAATTCCATACCTCATCCTCTGAACACCAACATCACATTGGAACCTTATCCCGCTGGCTTCAAAATTCCTCAACTTAAGCCATATGATGGGACGAAAGACCCAGATGATCACCTCCATGCCTTCTACTCTTGTATGCAAGCTCAAAATGCCTCTGATGCGTTGATGTGCAAGATTTTTCCCTCCACTCTCCGTGATAATGCCCAAACCTGGTACTATAGTTTGCCTCCAAGATCCTTTAGCTCTTATACAGAAATGTCATCTTCTTTTGCTATAAAGTTTTCCAATAGAAGATTGATTAGGAAAACTACTTCTGAACTGATGCGAGTCAAACAGAGGGAAGGAGAATCTCTGAAGAATTACATGAGCCGATTCAATGATGCAATCATCAAAGTCAGCTCATTCAACCAATCCGTAGGAATTGCGGCTATAATTCAAGGTCTCCAACATAATAGATTTAGAGATAGCTTAATTAAACATCCTACTGCCACTTTTAATGAGGTTAATGATAGATCTCTGAAATTCATAACTGTTGAGGAATATGCTTTATCACAGAAACCAGTTCTTCCCAAGAATCAAAACCCAAATTGGAGAAATGAGGCTCAGAGCAGAAAGCGGATGAAGACAGTACAGAGCCGAGGTCCGATGTCGGCCTCTACAGCGAGATTCAGGAAAGCCGAACTCACTACCCCCTAAGCAAAATACCAGCAAAGCACTAGTTACATGGACTCCTTTCAATCTGTCGAGGTCATAGATATTCATGCAGATCAAGAATAAGATGGATTTAAGGCGACCAGGGCCAATGAGAAGTTCTGCTGCTACACGTGATCGTACTAGATACTGTGATTTTCATCAAGATCATGGTCATACAACGAAGCAATGTAATAGTCTGAGGTCAGAGTTGGAAAGTCTAGCTCAGAAGGGAATGTTGAATGAATACATCCAAGGAATCGAGCAACCAAAGTTTGTTAGAGAACAAGGGCCACAACCATAGGGATCTCGTAATGCAAGTAACAGACAAGGCGTGGGATATCAACAAGCCCCACCTCCACTCCCACCACCAGCCATAATTATACATATGATTATGGGAGGCTTGGAAGTAGGGGGTTTGAGCTCCAATCAGAGAAAATTGTATGTCAGAGAGGTGAAGCATCAAAACCGAGCCTAGAAACGAAAGTTTGATGATGCAGATTGGAAAAATCAACCAATTACTTTCACATCTGCTGACTTCGATATAGTTGTCACACCTCATAATGATCCTTTGGTCACTTCCGTTATGATTAACAACTGTGAGGTACAACGTATCCTTGTTGACACTGGAAGTGCACTACACATTATGTATTTTCACTATTTTGAGAGTCTCGAACTAGACCCAGCTTTGTTGCAGAGGTACGATGGCCCCATATACATATTCAATAACCAACTTGTTCAGGTAGAAGGAGTTTACCCTTCATGTTGCTTTTGGGAGTGGCCGAACTTATGTTACTCCTTTAGTTCGGTTTCTAGTAATCAAAATGGCATCCTCTTTCAATGTTGTTATTGAACGACCCACATTAATGGAGATCCGAGCTGTGATCTCTCAATCTCACCTCTGCATGAAGTTCCCAACTCCTATGGGGATAGCAACACTACGAGGTAACCAAGAGGTGGCTAGACATTTCTATATTACCTCGGTTACAAGGCCTCGGAAAGGCAAAGATCAGACAACAAAACCATTCCCCAACAAGTTCATGATAATCAGCAAGTAATGGGAGTTAAGATAGTAGACAACCGATCAGAGGATGAAACCAAGGCTACCCTAGTTGAGGATGTAAAGAAGGTGCAAATTGATGACAGAGATCAAAACAAGAAGACACAAATTGAAACTTAGTTAAACCCAAAGGAAAGAGAAGAGCTAATAGCTTTCCTCTGAGCTATCAACGATGTCTTTGCTTAGACCTCAACAGACATGCCAGGAATTCCAACCTCAGTTTCTCAGCACAAGCTCAACACCAATCCATTGAAGAAACCAGTAGCTCAGAAGTGACATCTCTTTGGGGGGGGGGGAGAGGTTATAAAGGAAGAAGTTGAAAAACTCCTGCAAGCTGGTTTCATCAGAAGAGTTGACTACTGTGAATGGGTGGCTAACCCAATGTTGGTCAAGAAGGCAAATGGTAAATGGCAAATGGGCATCGATTACACAATCTCAACCAAGCTTGTCCCAAAAACTGTTATCCGATGCCAAGCACTGACAAACTGGTTGAAGTGGCTTCTGGAAATGAGATTAAGTCTCTTGGATGCATATTCTAGTTAGCACCAAGTGCTGATGGCTTCGAAAGATAAAGAGAAAATCTCATTCTATGCCAGTGATGAAATTTACTACTATGTCATGATGCCCTTTGGCCTAAAGAACGCAAGTGCCACTTACCAAAAAATGGTGACCATCGTCTTCCAAGCTCAGATCAGCAAGAATTTGGAGGTTTATGTCAATGACATTGTGGTAAAGAGCCTGAAGGCAAAAGATCATCTAGCTGATCTCGATGAAACATTCAACAACCTTAGAAAGAACAAAATACAATTAAATCCAACCAAATGCATCTTCGGTGTGGAGTCTAGGAAATTTTTAGGCTTCATGGTTTCCCGAAAGGGGATTGAGGTTAACCCAAAAGAGATCAAAGTAATAGCCTAGATGGAACCGCCGAAGTTAGTGAAAGATATACAAAGATTAACTAGAAGGGTGACAGCTCTTCATAGATTCATATTGAAGTCAGCGAACAAGTGCCTGCCATTCTTCAAGATCATGAGGTCAGCAGCCCAGAAGGATGAATCTGGCAAACAGAAGAAGTTTGAATGGAACCAAGAATGCCAAGCTACATTCGATGAGCTGAAGTCTTATCTCACCACCTCTACTGACTAAAGTTATAGATGGAGAAATTCTCTATTTGTACCTCAGTATTTCAGACGAAGCAATTAGTTCAGTTTTGGTGAGAGAATAAGGCAAATAGCAAAAACCAATTTATTATATCAGCAACGTGCTGCATGGAGCAGAACTGAGGTACCTTATTGCCGGGAAAGCAACATTGGCAGTTGTCACTTCAACCAGAAAGCTGAGGCCATATTTCCAGTCGCATCCAATCATCGTCCTCACATACCAACCTCTTCGACAGATCCTCAGAAGCCGGAGTGCTTCGGAAGGTTAATTAAGTGGGCAGTAGAACTGGGGGAATTCAAGATAACATTTTAACAGAGGTCTGCGATCTGAGCCCAAGCATTGGCAGATTTCATCGTGGAATGCACCCCATGTCACTCAAACCCTAACCTCGAGTCGAGCGACTGGACCTTATATGTTGATGGAGCATCTAGGAATAAGGGTTCAAGAGATGGGGCTTTCTTAATTGGCCTAGATGGATATCGAAGTGAGCATGCTTTGAAATTTAACTTTGATGCAACTAATAACATGGCTGAGTATGAAGTTCTGCTACTTGGTTTATAACTAGTATTGGAGCTGAAAGTCATGGCAATACAAGTTTACAATGACTCACGGCTTGTGGTTAATCAAGTCAACTCAGTTTGTGAAGTTATTGATCTTGTCATAATAAAATATGTAGCCCTAGTGGTGGAGTTGAAATGCAAGTGCCAAAAGTTTTATTTGAGCAAGATTCCCCAAAAGTGAGAATGACCAGGCAGATTCGCTTTATAAGTTTGCCTCTGATAGCTCCTTAAGTTCCAGATCAGTTTTCGTAGAAGTTTTAGATGAACCAAGCTTCATGAAGCCAAGAATGATGGAAATCAGCACAAACTCAGATACACTGAGTTGGACATATCTAATTGTTTCCTTTTTACGAGACAGGTCAGTGCCTGAAGACAAGTAAGAAGCAATGAGGTTGAGGAAGAAAGCGTCTCGATATATGCTCATTGATGGAGTCCTCTATAAGAGATCTTTCTCTCTCCCTCTCCTATGATACTTGAATCCTTATGAAGTTGAGTACGCATTTCAGGAGGTACATGAAGGTGTATGTGGAAGCCACATTGGTGCTAGAACCTTAGCTCACAAAGTCCTTAGACAAGGATATTACTGGCCGAATATGTATGAAGATGCGACTCACTTTGTGCAGAGATGCCCGAAGTGCCAATTCTTTGCACATTTGACTCACCAACCAACAAAAGAGCTCACCAACTTGGTTGCACCATATCCATTTGCTCAGTGGGGACTTGATCTTTTGGGTCCATTCATGAAAGGGGTTTGAGGTGTAACCCATCTAATCGTTGGTGTTGATTATTTTACGAAATGGGTTGAAGCTTGGCCACTATCCAATCTCACTTCTAGAAAAAGGTCGAAAACTTTGTTTTTGGTTCAATCATCTACAAATATGGAATTCTGAACCATATCGTGGCTAATAATGGTACTCAGTTTAATTGCTCTTCGTTCAAAGAGTTCTGCTCCAATTACGAGATCAAACTACAGTTTATCTCAGTATACCATCCGGAGTCTAATGATATGGTAGAATCTGTCAATAAATCTATCCTAGAAGGGATAAAGCCTAGATTGGAACAGCACAAGGCTAGATGGGCAAACGAGCTTAACAACATCCTCTAGGCATACAAAACTACGAGCTAAACTGCCACAAGTGAAACACCTTACCACCTGGCCTTTGGTACTGAAGCAATCATTTCTATTGAAATAGGAGTTCCAAGCTTTAGGGTAACCCATTTCGATGAAGGACAAAATGGACAACTGCTTCGAGAAAACCTTGATCTGCTTGCCGAAGTCAAAGAAGAAGCACGACTTCGAACTCTAGTATACAAGCAGAAATTAGCCAACTTCTGCAACAAACGAGTCCGCCCTCGAACATTCAAAGTAGGAGTTCTTGTCCTCAGAAAGGCTGGCCTAACAGGGTTTGAAACTCGTTTTGGCAAACTGGCCTTGAACTGGGAAGGCCGTTACATAGTGGCCGACATGCCACATCCTGGTGCCTATATCCTCCACGATGTTGAAGGGAAGAGAGTTCTTAGAGTCTGGAATATCAATAACTTGAAGAAATTTTACCCTTAATAAACTTCTTGCAAGTGATCTATGTCTTATTCTTCTTTATACTTATTACTTCTTCATTTTTTACATTCATTTCATCTCTTATTCTGTATATCCGAGGTCAGTCGGTTTGGAATTTATTCCTTGGACTTCATTTTTATTAATGAACTTTGCTTCACATACAAAGTGATTTACTTCTTCTCAGTGCATATCCGAAGTGATTTACTTCTTCTTAGCTCATATCTAAAGTAATGTACTTTACCTCAGTTTTTATGACTAATATAAAACAAATAAAGCACAGAGTAAGTATTACACATAATTTCAAAAACAAAATTTTGTTATTAAAATCAAATAATAAAAATTACAAACTGTTCAATTGTTCCAATGTTATCAAACAAGAAAGATCAAAAAACAAAAAATTATTCTACTAGGGGAGATGGTTGAGGTGGCTGTTGCTCTGTTGGAAGAGGCGACTGCTCTGCTGGAAGAGGTGGCTGCTCTTCGTCATAAGGAATTGAATGGACCTCCACTGGATGAGGTGGCTGGTTTTCCTCAACTCCAACACCATCTACCTCTGCTTCCTCTTCCTCCACTACTACGAACTTGAAGTCCAAGTGTGGAGGAAAAACGGTACGTCCCTCTTCATCGTGATCCCACCTCAATTTAATCTCAGGTCGGAAGTCTGCTGACATACTCTCACCGTTTTCTTCCACCCCTTCCTCTTGTTCGCCAAAGGTGATCTTTGTTATATTCACTTCGGGATATTTAGCTTTCACCTTCTTTCTACAATCGATGAAGGCGAGGATCACAGTTGGTAGCTAGTAGAGATTGACTATATTGTCAAACGAGCTGGAGTTGACGAAGTTGCTAATATGCTCCTTCATCCCATTGTGTACCATCAGTTGAACATTCTTCTTCAGCTCAACCATAGCTCCTTTCATCATTTTTATTTCCTTCTTTTGAGCCTCGCGCTTGTTTTCAGAGATTTTTCTCTTTCTCTCCTCAGAGAATCCTTCTCCTGCTCAAGCTGCTTCATTGTTGGTACCACCTTATCCAATGGCTCTTGCATGTCTTTATTTTTCTTTTCTAGCTCCTCATTCTCCTTCTGCAGCTGCTCACACTGCCTTTGCAAGAGGGAGTGATCCTTCACACTCTTCATAAATTCCTGAGCAAGAGCATTCACCCAACTCACACTCTACAATTCAAGCAGAAGTCAAAAAAAAAAAAAAAAAAAAAAAACAATAACAACAACAACAACAAAACACCAACAATCACACATAAACCAACTTAACATACCTCCAAAGCGTGCTTCACCACAGTTGCCCCACAATACTTCAGCACCTCTTCCTTAGCTTGACGCTTGTCCACTTCGGAGAAGGTTGCATTAATAAACCTTCTTGCCCCCGTTGCGTTCTTCGCATCAAAGAGGCTACTCTGAAAGTACAACGGGGGAACAAGGCCTTTTCCTTTACTAGGGGCTCTTACTTCAGCCCCCTCCACCTTAGACTCCCTAAGCTCAAGATTGAGCTCAACAGAAAGAGGCCGAGGTATGAACTACAGAACCTTGTTCCCCCTAACCTCCTGCTCCACCACCGTTTTCTTTTTCTGTAGTGCTCCCAACTGCTCACTACCATTCCTCTTCAACTCCAGCCTAGGCCGCACCTCCTCAACTCTAGCCGAGGTGCTAGGTACTAACTCCTTCCCAGCTCCCACTTCAGTTCTCTCCTTGGTTGAAGCCTTTGACTTCTTCCTCGGCTTCTTTGGAATAGCCACCCCCTCAATAGCATTCAAAAACTTATCCATCTCAACTGCAAAACAACGGAAACAAAGCAGTGTCAACAACAAAACTCTACACTCCACATCAAACACTACAATATAAAATCTAAACACACCTTCACTCAAAGCGCTTGGCCCATAGAGCCCAGCAACCTCTATACAATCCGCACTGGTTAGGTACATTATGTTAACTAACTTACCCCCCTCCCTCACCAACTTCCCCACCTCTTCCTCCTCATCCTCATTTAAACTATATTTATTTTGGTTGGCCTTCTTAGCCTTCCAAGATGACAACAATTCTACTTCAACATCCCCTCTCTCCCACTTAGTGTCATCTACAAAGAAAAATTTCTCCTTCCATCCTTTAATGGATGAAGGACCCATTGTAAATAAACTCCTACTCTCCTTAATTGATACTCTAGGAGTGAAATAATACCATCCCTTGTCCTTTCTGCTACCCCCCTTCAGAACAAAAAATATTTAAACATATTTACAGTTGGCACATTAACCCCCTGAGCTCGGCAATAAATTAAAAACCCTATTATTACTCTCATAGCATTAGGGGCTAATTGTGTCAACCCTATGCTATAATCTAATAATAACCCCAGTAGCAGCTCAAGAATTGGAAACCTAAGCCCAGCTGCCAAATACTGAGCTTACATGGGCATCCAATGATCTCGAGGTGAAGAACATGCCCTCTCCTCTACCCCAGCAGGCCTAACCAAAACTCGAGAAGAAATTTCATAAGTTTCTACTAAATAACCCAGGCTATCCCTAGTCCTGAGTTCAGACTCATACTACCTCACCTCATACACAATGTTTGCATCTACGTCATAACACATTTCATTCCTACCCTCCACTTCTACTACGGTAATAGGAACCATATTTCACTCTACCCCAACCCTCTCACTTCTTTCTACCCCCTTCTCCATCCTCTCTGAATCAAATGACTCACTGGTCATACCCACGTCACCATATCCCAACACCCTCACTTCCTCACTTCCCCCAATGCTCACCGTTTCTTCAGAAGATATCTCTTCAAAGTTCGTAACTTTCACTGCATGGAGTAGAGAAGGTGGGGAGAAAATGAAGTCAGGACCTTCAGAAATTCTAACTCACACTCACCGTTACTTTCACTCCTAAACCTAACTTCCTTCAAAGGACTTAGATCTAAATCAGAAAGTATGACAGTAGAAGAAAAAACATTCTAAAATCTAAATCACCAAAACTCATACGTTACCTGATCTTGGTCTTGAAAGCTTGATGTAGAAGTCCACAAAGGATGCAACAATTCAGACACAAAAAAAACATAGTACAATTTTGGCAGCAATTTGGTAAAAAATACAACAAAAGTAAAACTACTTTTGCAGAAGTGTGGCTATATATACCACAAAGCAAAATATATCTCAACGGTTGTGATTAATTTAATCTGACGATCACAATACCCACCGTTTCGAATTCAACGGTTAAACCCTAATGGGAACCTTTCGAATTCAACGGTTCATTTTCCATTCCGTCTGTTCAACTATGGCAGTTACTTTTTTTAGCCCGTATTTATTGTACATGTTTTTCAACAGATAGCCGTCACATCATATACTAATCCTATGTCAGACTTGTTAAACGGGCCCACTTAAGCCCAACTCAACACTTATGTTCACTTTCACAATAATATTTTTCAATTTTACAATATTTTTCAATTTTACAAGTATTTCACCTCGGCCCCGGCCATAGTGACTCCGGTCATCATTTTTTACTTTGGCTCCGGCCATTATGACTCCGGTCATCACTTTTTACTTCGGCTCTGGCCATTATGACTCTGGTCATTACTTTTTACTACGGCTTCAGCTACAATGACTCTGGTCATTACTTTTTACTACGGCTCCAACCACAATGACTCTGGTCTTTATTTCTTATTACGACCCTGATCACAATGACTTCAATCATTACTCTAGCCATTGTCATCCCACGTCACATTTTATTTTGGGAATAGCCACAATGACCCCGTGTCACATATTCTACTATTAGTTATGGCCATACACGAATTTGAGTTACCAATTTTTATTTTAACTTCAGTAACTCATCTTTAATATTTTTTCGTTCCTCTTTCACCTATTTATACACTACTCCCATCATCTCTAACAACATCATTCACAAGTGAATGACTTTGAGGGGGGCAATAGTGTAAGGATAGGTTCGAAGGTCCTGAACCTCAGACATACTGGTACAATTCCTTAATAGCCGAAGTAAAATTAAATCCAGCACTTCTTGATCAAATGGCTACACGATAAATACAGTGGACGTGCCCACACCTAATTTGTCACACACAATTTCTCGGTCCCAAAATTACCGCCTGAAGGGACACGTCACACTCCGATTATCCTGTTAAGCAAGCCACGTGGACATCTCACGAAGGCCTATAAATACCCCCAAGGGGCCACCTTAAAAAGGTAATTAAAAACCAACC